CCACAGTACTCATCTTACCTTTTTTCTGCCTTTGTGTCTGCTTCTCTTATATCTGTGAAGCAATCTTCTGTTCCCCCCCCCCCTCTCTGTGAAGCCTGAAGTCAACTAAATGGCTAATGATAGCCATCAAAACACCTGCCATTTGATATAAATAAATAAATGTTTTGACTTCTAATTTCGACGAGTTGGCCAACCAGAGACAGATATATGTGGGAGAGGGAGAGAGGACAAGGCTACCTGTACTAGAGAGGACAAAGGGAATGCCAGATCCAAAGTTAGTAGGCAGAAAAGTGCATAAAGGAACAGAGGTAAATTCAATAAATAGGAGTTAGATGACTGAAATAAATTACCACACAAATTGAAGAAAAGGAAGAGTAACGCTGAATATGCGAAAATCGAAGTGGAGACTAGATGAAAAAAGATAGCAGAATACAGGTCACGAGACCAAGTACACCGTTCTTTCTACATTTTGCACATGTCTAGCATCTGCTAAAACCCTGTTTGCATAAACATGTGAATAATAGGATGGAGGGCGAGACACTTTTTCTATCGAGATGAGAAAAGGGCGTTTTTTAACTTACTTGAATAGAGCCTTGGTTTGGAACTCGATAGCCACGTTTGTTGGAGAGTTTAGTGAGATCAACATGACCCAAATATGGCGATGGTGTGGTACCGTCATCATCAAGGTGGAAGAAATATGCGACGACTGGCAATTTAGCATGAGTTGGGAAGAACGATCCACTTGCTCCTAAACTGACTGAAAAGCCGTCAACCATACCAGCCGGGGCTATTCGTCCATTCAGCATACTCTCCTATTTGAAAAGGGAATCATATATAAATGATAAATGTTGGTTGCTAAAGTCAACTTAGATCTGTAATTGTGGGATTTTGCGAGGTGTATAATTTGAAGTGGGATCCTTCAACTTACTTACCACGTTAAAGCCAAGGCATGAATCATCGACACGACCGACCACCACAACTACGCAATCAGTCAGTAAGCATTGAATATCACTGAGAGGAATTTGTTTAATAACCTAGGTGACGATTCCAGGAATCGGAATTTTAAAAAAGTGAATTACCCACAAACTGAATACTCTTCAACTCCAAACCAAATACAGGTGGCTTATCTCAACCGATTTGGGTACCTTTCCCGTAGTTAAAGAGCCATATTTTTTATAATTCTGTAGGTAATGATAATAACATGGCTTGGGTTAAAATGCTTTGAATTTGATCCAAAGACATTTTAAAGTCATTAAGGAATCTATCTGCAAAACTTGGGAAGAGAGAGAATATCCCACAGTCACTGCCATGAAGATTTGCATTTGTGATTAGGGGATTGCGTGTTTTGCGACAATTTAAGTAATTTAAACTCAAGGTCGGACGTTTAAAGCAAGTAATTGACAGTGAGAGTTTAAACTATGCTAAATATCTCAGTCCAATTCAAGCGGAAATAATTTGAAATCAGGTGAACTTAGTTGTTCAAACAATCAACTAATGCACGAGTCCAAAACATGGAACACGACCCTAACTGGAACAAAGCTACCTAATTGCGTCATTAGAATGATCGATATTTTTCCAAGTTAAAGATGCACATTCTTCATCTTTCATCTAACACAACCTTGTAATGTGGGAAATCCAATTCAATATGAAATAGTAGCATTATAAATTATTGCTTACCTTATTTACATGAGAGAACTTAACCATTTCTTGTTGCACCGTGTACGCATAGATTCTCTATATTCATTCGGAAACATAGATGCATTTACATAACTTGAAAGCGGGTCAGTTTTGTAATAAACTTCTACCATTTCATCAACCCCCATCACATCAATTTGTTGCTAACTAGCTAAAACATCTTCGGCTCATGCATCCTCGAAAGCTGATTTACTGTTTAAATTAACTTTGTATTCATTGCAATCCTCTAGCTATCCTGCTCATTAGCGACCGCTTCAATTTCATAAGCCCTTTTGTTAAACGTTAAAGAGACCTTTTATCAACCAACCAGTGGGCACCTATCTTGTTCGAAATCAATCAACCATACCATTTCAGAGAATGGGCAGCTCTGTTAATGTAATTTACTCCCTCGTGTTTCGTTCAATCTTAATCGTGTGTAAATAAAAATTCTAATTCATTGCACTATTCTGTAGTTTCTTTTCACTCATCTTGGTCAAGCAGATAATCGGGTTTTATAGACGCAAACTCGATTAAGTTCATCTCCTAGGAAATAGACATATTTCTTGACCATTAAAAAACTAGCTTTCATTGTAAGGAAAGATAGCATCTCTCGATGGATAGAACGTAAGTTATAAAATCTCTGCTCCTCAGTCTGCATTAAAGTGGGAATTAGACTAGTATGGGAAGGAAAGTGTTAATGCGCAAAATGGGTTTGAGTCACAAGCATGATCAGGCGAGCAGACAACCAGCCGTCAGCAAAACGCACGAAAGTGAATTGCGCTCCCCATTAACATAAAGAGTCGTCTAAATTGTTTCCACATTCTAATTACAACCTTTTTTGTTAAGAGAATAGAACCAGAGTGGTGCAATGAAAATTTTGAACAACTTATTTTCATTGGAAATCGAATTACCCGTCCAATTGCTCCATCTAATTGTGAGAATTAAGCAAGTTAGGTTCACTCTGCTCTTTCTCCATCATAGAAGGGAAGAATGCGTTGAAGTGACAGGTGTGACCATTCAAATTAATCAACCAATCAAAAAGGGCTGAGTGTCGTGGACGAATATTAACCATGCAATTCAGGAGATAAATCGCGAAATTTGTAAGAGGAAGCAATGAGCTGATATTTAAGTAGACACTCCACAACTCGATTCTCAAAAACACAAATACCTTTTTATTTATTCAGCACCTTATTTCTTAGTTGCTTTTCACTTACCCAGGATCGTGGTAAGCCCTTGCCACTTATAGATAACCTTCTTGTTAAAACGCAATAAGACGGCAAGTAGTAGAAACGAAACCTTTAAATGTTTTGAGTAATGATTTGTTAACAAATGCAAAAGTTCATTTTAGAAATTAGATATACAAGGAATATTTGCTGTAGTTGGAGGCATTAAATAACAAAGTCCTTTAAAAGAGCCATGTTTCGAGCAAAAGACCGCCGCTTTTGACGCTATTATATGCAAACTTTGTTTGAAATGCAAATTTACTAAATTTCGCAACTAATAGAAGACTATAGCTGAATCATCAAAAATAACTCCGTTACAATAGACTAAAATTTCGTTATTTTTTCGTAAAAATCGATAGAATTAAATTAAATAAGGTCTGGAAAAAAAGCGAATCACTGTGTCAAAAAGCTATATTACACGGCTTTGTCATTTCTCTAATATAGGCCTGCCACGACTCAGAGCATTCAGTTTCCCGTTTGTTTTGAAAATTATTGAGAACAATTTTGTAAGTGAAGAGGAAAGTTAGTGCGAGAGCGAGAATATCACGAGGCAATAGAAGATTTTCCAACAGTCAGGTTATTGCAATTGTTGACATAGCACTCAGAGAATGGTCGAGTTGCGTCACTTGACAAGTCTTTGAAATTGAAAAAAATCAAGTGTATACTGCTTTAGGGCATATTTGGAATTAATATGTTAAGAGGAGAAAAGTGGACAAATATTATGAGAGCATGATTACTTCATTGCCTACACACTGACTAGGGACACTGAAAACAGAAATAGACGTTCACCTGGATCTCGCATAAGAGAACAAGCGCCTGTGGCTACGTCAGATGACTCGCGTTGGAACCCAGTAAATCTAGCAATAAACTGGTTAATAAACCATGAATATTACGAACATAAACAGACTTAGAGACCATAAAAGACATCTTGAAAGTTATCATTGGAGCATGGAAACATGACGCAGTTAAGCAAGAAAACAATCTGTTGAAACTGAAATTGTGTATTCTCAGCTTCTACTCGACCCACTTTCTCTCCCAATAGACTAGTTGACAATAGATTTCTTTCCTTGATTAGTTTTTTTCTTTCATGAATAAAAATGGTAAAGAAGAAAAAACATCATGCATTTCATATCGCTAAAATTTTCACGTAACTACCGACTAGCATATTTGTAGCTACTCGAACACTTTATGTTTATGAAAAAAAACATGAGAATAAAATTTTTCGTCATTAAGTGAACTCACCAGAACAAAAGTAATGGAAAAAGTAAGAAATTAGGTCTGGAAAAACTGTAACAGGAGCCTTGATTTCATTGATCCATCGATCATTGCCATTGAGATAGAAAAAGGTAATATGGTGAAGATGTAAATCGAAATGAGCATTCATTAAGAAACTGAATTTTATTCTGATTCAAAAGTTTGTTAGATGATATTTTGCACGAAGCGAATGGTAGGGTTAGGCAACTAACAGTTCTCTTGGGTGACACCAATCATGGACCCGCCATCAGGTGCTTACCAATAGCCATATTGGCTAGAAGAAAGCAACAGAAGATCACATCCTACAATCTAATCTCTGCCAATAACCTCATAACTTCTGACCATTTTGTAAAAACTTGCTAAAGAGCCCATTCGAATATTTGAGTTGAGTCAGAACAAAGCTCGAGAGTTTTATCTTCCGAGCACTTTATTATCGATCGCCCGTCTTAAACGCGCGTGTCGGAATTAGCAATTTTTAAAACTGTTCCAATTATCGGATAACCAGGCAGTTATTCATTTCTTATTAGTTGGAATTCATTAATTAATTTTTTTGTTCATAGACCTTCATCTTCCTTACTAAAACGACAAAATGAGCCGTAAACACAATCGAAGGTGATTGCCACTGGGACCAAGAATGGTACACAAAAGGCGCCATGCCTAAGAACTCCACATGTCACTTATGGTACTTGCTAGGCTTACGTCAAAAATTGAAATGGGATTTTTTCTCACACGGATTTACCCCATTCTACAAATGTGGCGCTAATTAGGCTTTATAGCTTGGAGTTTATAAAAACCAACCTAGAAAGTAAAGGGATCTGAAAACAAATTTCTAGGCTGATTACAATCAATATTCAGTACTCTTAGCTCAAATATGGTGCCTTAATTCAAAAAGATTTTGAGAAATTCCCCAAATAGAGAACCAATTTAACATTTTGAAAATCCCAGATAGGGTCTTCGTAGATCGGACAGAAAAAAAACCAACAAAACTGAGGTAACTCGATTTTTCCAAGTTGAGTTTACCATAAGTGAAATCAAGTTGAAACGTTGAATGCAATGGCCGAAACTGCCGACTGCCCGCTGATGCCATTATGTTTGGGTTGCTACGGCGTCAGTGCCTCTGGTTTTCTAATAAAAGAGTTGAACACATATTTTCTATTATTTCACACCTTCATATTATATCATCAACAACGATTGGGCTGAAAATGGCAATAATATCTACATTTGGCGTTCTTTTAAATATGCCGTATTATTTTTATAAACGACCCACCGGTGGGCCGTATCGCACTCAGCAAGATTTAACATTTTTGTTAGTACCCTCCCCCAGGCTATTCCAGAGTGATAGAAGAAGTAAATAAGATTCTAAACATTGCAGAGGTGAACTCAAGGAAAATTGAGGAAAGACTAACTAACATTTGCAAATATTGCATCATGAAACGAAGACAATGATCGTAGTAAAGAAGTGGCAACACATTTTTGCAAACTTTAGATTACATTAAGATGAAAAAGGATTTAAAAAGAGACCCTTTCCTACTTCCTGTAAATTCTAGATACGTGATTTTTGTTTTTGAGGCGAATCTAGGTCAACAAATGTTGTGTTTTCAAGCCTCTACCCGTAGCACTTTAATTCCGCATATTGCTAAATAACCCCATGTAAAATCAGCTGACTGCCAACCTGATCAACTTATTTACAAAGACTTCTAACCCCCATATACAAAGTAAGGTTTCACTCTCTAAAAAAATTAAATAAGATAATGATTTATCACCTCACGCTTTTCTGTTCAATTTATAATGCATTAGCAATTATTCTCGCTTATATGAGTATTGAAAGAGAGATAGCTTTGTCAGTGAAGACTAAAAGTCGGCGGTGTTTAGAGCTTCAAACACTAGCCAAATGAAGAAGACACTTGTATTCCAATGTAAAACCCTGGTATAGTTGATAAGACGATTGGAATGAAGTAAGCTTCTTGTCTTTCTGAGGCTGAACGGCAACTCAGTCATATCTAGTGGGCAGATAGAGCATATTGTAGCAGATACGTGACTTCCTATCGTTGCAATAGCTTAGAAGTCGTAGCTTACGAGGAAACCAGATGCAAAATGGTTAAATAGGATTAAGCTAATCACCAATCCACTAAACATGGTTAGTATACAATCATACACTTTCTCAAACTCTAAATTAAAAATTCATCAAACCTTCTTCTGCATAACGTTTTATGTAGGTCTAAATATACACATTAATTAGTGTCTTACGTCTTTAGTAAAGTCCTAACTGTAGAAAAAAAGTAATAAAAACGTAGCAATCAGACGTTAAATTAAGGAGGTTATGTAATTTGCGCAAATTTACAAAACCAAATAATTTTTTCTGAATAATGGGTAAAAAGCCCTAGACATATGAAAGGTAATACTCCTAACATTCTTTTCTACAGCATTGTAAAATATCAATTAGAAATATATCGGACAAGAAATTTCAAAATCCTAAACTCTGTCAACTTGTATTTATAGATAAAAATAGTCGAAACCAACGGATAATAACCCCTTTTAACACGCACGTTTACAGTTGAAGCCTAGCCATAGGAATGAGTTAGTAACCACATTAGCAACCAAAATAAAAGAAAAGAAAATAAAAAAGCAAAATAGCATCCATTTGCCTTTTCGCTTTAATGTCAAAACTAAAATCAAAACTAAATGGCAGGAACAGCCAATACGCAAACACGACGGTGTTAGGAAACTGAATCGAATCTTCTCGATGCCTCCGAGTGAATCCCAAAAGCTTCATTCCTCGTGTATTAGGTTATTAGTTATTGGAATTCTACGTTCAAACCAGGATATGTAAGCCTATCACAGTAATTATAGACTAACTTAGCAACAAATAAAAAATTTATCCATGAAAGACTACCTAGAATAGTCTGACCGAGTACTTTTGTCTTTTACTTGGATATTATAAATAGGCTGAAGTTATGAGAATGAAATATGCACAGCTAATCAACCTTAAAAATTAATTCAATTTCAATTAGCATTTTTCATTGGTCAAAAAGTTAAAGTTGTTTACCTCATTTTACTGATTCGAATAAATCTTGTTAAAAATTTCTCACCTTTAAACAAAGATACTGTTGACACTTATCAGCTTGATACAATCTTAAAATAATCAGGTTTAATCTAATACGATTAATAAATAATGAGATAGTAATTCAAAAGGGAATAGAGTTGAATTAAAATCACCTCAAAGTTAATAAGAAGTTGACTGAAGGAAGGCGGGGGAAGAGGAGTTCCAGGGAAGGAAATTCCACCACCACTGTTTCCGCCACCGAAAGTAGCGGATGCACTGAATGTTCGACCTCTTTTGGAAGATGGTCGGCGCTTTAATGCCAATGTTGTCGGCCTCAACGTTTTAAATGAAGAGGTTGTCCCATTTCCATTAGCACCACATCTAGATGTAAGATGAACTAAATGAGAATGTCTACAAGCAAAGAAGCTTAAATTTTGAATGAGCTCAGATAGATGCCTTTAGTTTTGGAAGAAATCAATATACTTCGAGAGAGAATGACCAACTGCTTATTTACATTAACCGGTTAATAAGCTGTAAACACCATCCACATGACCTCACTCAGATCCTGGAATTTGGAACCCTATAATACGAGAAGTGAATTGCACAAAAAGATTAAAATTGAGTTGAAGATTAAGATCTTAAATAAAATAAACAGCTTTAATTTCCTCTTTTCACTCATTGTTTTTTTTACTCCTCTCCCATGTGTTAAATATTACGACTTCTCAATAGTGAAATTTCAAAACATCCCCTATCCTTTTCTACAAAAGCTTCAGCTTTAAAGTCTTAAAACTGCTGCTTTTAATGCAATCATTAAATAATTGAACAGAATAGGGTAAATTGATAAAATTACATTTTCGAAAGGCTCTATGTAGGCGATATCTGCATTCTTGATTGCTTAGTAGAGGCAAATCAATTAAGAACTAAGCATACTATAATTGACAGACGGATTTGCGCACTCAAGTGAACTGTAGCAAAATACCTTTTTGGGTCGTCAAAGCTGCAAATCAAATGGCGGTCAATATCACTACAGGTATGAACACGCACTCAGAAATGAAGGGAATCAGGCATGAGTAGTGAACTCTGCAGGAACTGGGGATGTGACAAAGGCTCCAATGCTCCTTATGAGAAGGTGGGCAGCTCAATGCTTCGAAAATTCATGCTCAGGTAGTATTTGGAAAGTCATAAATTATAAAGATAATTTATATTGCTGGAGGGAATAACTACCCTTTTTCACAAAAATGATATGTGGTTCCACTATCTCATCGCTTTCAAGTCCAAGATTAAATTAGCACAGGTGCGAAAACGCTTAAGCTCCGTTAATTTTCGAAAGCTAAACACAGATCAATTATCCAGTGAAATTTGCAACCTAACTGTTCTGAGCTAAGTTCCAACAGAAACGGAAATCTCACAATTTCTTTAAGATAAAGCAACCCAAAACATAATTAAGACTATGTTTACAAATGTTTACCTTCAAAAAGTGAAATTTTCAAAAACTACTTTAGCATTACTTGAGACATTTAAATATCCACTTCATTATTACTCCAAAACCTTAAAATTTTCAATGAACCAAAACATTCCCTAGGGCAAAGTCATATTTTGAAATCAGTAAAAGTACAACCAGGCTTTCCTATGACCTTAAACAATTTGCATAACAATAACAGGATAAAACTGATGAAAAATGCCCATACTTACGGATTAACTAGAGAGGGATCAAAATCAAAGGAAGTTGAATTCTTCTGTTTTCCCGGTACCTACAAAGAAACAAACAGTTCAAATAGACAGAAATGGGAGCAGAAATTTCGCGCATTTATCTTACAGGGGAAGATTGCAGAGGCAGGCCCGTTTTTTTATTGAAAGACGCTGAATGAGAGGAAAAGACTTCGGTGAAACTGTTCGAATATTTGGCTTTGCGAATAAGTGGAAAATGGCACTTTTCAGATATGTCCGCATTCGGTGTTGCGTCGGCAACAGAATCCGGCAGGTGCGCAGTGAAAGCTTTGTTCGCAGATCTGTATTTTTGCTGCACACTCAATGAGGTGAATTGGGTAATGCATTCCTCCACTTGGGGTTTAGTTCCTTGGTTCTGGCCTGATTTAACTTGAGGTTGCTGGCCTGTAAACTGTTGTAAGCGCTTCAATTTACAGGGTGTAGATTCAGAGAAAGACGAGGATGTTGATGGAGCGGATTGTAACCATTGCGACATGATCACAAAAGGACTTTTGGGCACTTTATTGTATTTGATGGCATCATCACAGGAAGTATTAACATAGATGTTAGATAACAGGGCATCATTACAGCGTTTTGAGGGAAGACTCATAGCACCATTATGAAGATATCGAAGTGAATCAAAGAGATTATCACTTGGGGGAATTATAGGCATCTCCACAACAGAGGTTACCATGGTATCAAGCACTTCTCTAGTGCCTGCTAGAATTCTACTGAGGGATTTAGAAACACAGATGCCTGCAGTATCCTTTCGATGAATATGTGAGCAAGGGTTATTGCAGAGGTAGTTTCTCCTCGGGCATTTGGTACGAGTCGTAGTGTGAACACCTTCAGAGTTTGCAAAATTATCGGAGAGATCTCTGATGAGTTTGAAACCAAAGTGTGTGTTGCCGATCTTAGGTATCTCAAAGCTTAAATCAGTCGTATTTAAAATGAACCAACAAGATGAAAATAAATTTGCTCCCCAGATATTTGTAAGTCTAGAATTAAAGTTTAAACGTAAATATAACCAAACGGTATAAAATATCAATAATAGAAATAATAAACCGACCTGCAGACACAACAGGGAGAATCGAATGTTTTTTCGGATTTAAAAAGTAACTTATTAACCAAGGAGGTATCACAATATGATTTGATGTCATCGAATAGTGTAGAAATATCAGAAATATCCTCAGTAACGAGTCTAAAATTAAGAGTTAATTAATCGAAACATTTATGCTATATTAGTAAAAAAGTTAAAAGTTGAGAATAACCTTTTGGGAAGGAACTGAATCATCCATTGTTCAACCAAGTAGGCCGGAATGTGTTTACCAACAGAAGACCACCCATAGTCTCCAATTTCTGCAGTTGGAAGAAGTAAAAACTCGATAATAATAGGATTTCCAGTATAGCCTATCCGTTTGAGTTCGATGTGAAGAGAAGCTTCTTCCGGCTTCTAAAATTATTAATAGTCAAATGAAATATATCCCTACTTCTGAACTATCTTTGAACTCTGTGGAAATAGTGAATCCGATACAAGGTGTACTACATCCACTGAGAGTTGGTGAACGTGCTACTTGCCCCCTACGAAATATTAGCTCGCATATACTAGCAAATATTTCTGCCGCTTTATCGATTTCAGGATCAGAAAAGCTTATATCAGAATCGATAAGTGTCGGAATAGTTTTTGTTATATTCATATTCCTACACAGGATAAAAAGCTTATATACTACTTAGTTTGTACAAACTCGAGGCTCCATTCACACTTATAAATCAGGTGATCAAGTTAAGAACAAACAGCTGATCGTCATTGGAAGATTTGACCTAGAAGACTGAATTAACAAAATCATAATTTTTAAATGTAATTAAAACGTGATTTCATTCCGAATAACAGTCAAAATATTTAGAAAGAGTTAACACAGACATTTGGGTTTAATCTTATTTAATTATAAATTATGTATTGTAGAATTTCGATATCGGGAATAGATTGTGTAGAATTAACAAATTCCAATCTGAATATTCAAAATGATAAAATGACAAACTTTAAGTACACTCATCGGATATTATATCGGGTATTTAGTTCGGGAATTTATTCATTTAATATTTCTTAGAAAATATTAAACTAATTGTGCTTCGTGTGGTGAGAGAATTGTTCTTGCTCCAATTTTCTGATTGAAGTAATTTTAGGGAAAAAATACTTTTCTGTCTAGTACTTTCATTTATTAACTTCATTTATTCAATCAAACAATATAAGTTAAGATATTACTACGCGTATACTAAGTAGGATAGATAGAACATTTTAATCGATGAATGAATTTATCAAATGGTTCTAATACACCCATCAAAATAATAAATTCGTGTTAATAAGAAATATACATGCGTACATACATGCATACACACTCACACGCATATATATATATATATATATATATATATATATATATATATATATATATATATATATATATATATATATATATATATATATAGTATTATTCATATATAATCAGCACTCAGGATGTAATAAATATAAGTAAATAATGAGAAAATAAAGGAGATACCCAGAAATTTATATTCGTTTTATAACTATAATAAATCTGAGTTAGTGGTATCCACTCGGATTCCCAACGGAAAATTAGTACTCCCGTAATTCAACGTGTATGTCTTTCGAGATGCTTCCATAATAGAATATAAAGCAATATTACAATACACGCAATATATGCAAATGCTTATATGTGTTTGTTTATTAGCATATAAATGCCCAACAATATAAGGGGACAGCTGATTAAGTAAAAGACTGTTCGGCTTTTGGGAACATAAGCATAAGAAAGCTCAGACTCCAATAGTGAAATTATTACTAGATTTTAAGTATACTACTTCCCTAACTAACCTTTTTACTATCCCATTACAAAGCAGAATGATGGTATGTGTATGTGATAATAATTTCGTCATTGTCTAAGTATTAATCACATTAGTATCTTTAGCACGATTTCTAACAATGATAGAGCTATTCTACTGCTTTATTTCTTTAAATGTATTTTGAAATTCAGTTGCCTCGCCTTGTAAGGTTTAATAATCCAAATTTCATGATCAATTTGAGGTGTGGATCGTTAGGTGACAATATGAATCCCTAATGTTTATGCACTTATGTACACTTAATTAACCACTGAATGGCGACATAACTTAATATAATCTAATGATGTTGTAACCCGCAAACTTGTTTGAAATAGTTTTGCAACCTTGCTGAACCAAAGTTGAGTAAAAACTGTACACCGAATGGACTAATGGGGATGTCGAACCGAGAGCTCAAGGTGGGCGATCGGTTAGAATGAGCTGAATATTCATTGATCATTATCGCAAATGGTGGAAGAAGGTGAGTAAATGGTAAATTTTTACCTGGTCTCACCATTTTTTATCTTTGAGCATCTTAAGGATTATTACCAACCATTTGGTATCGTAGAGACACTACGATCTTTCTTATTTATATGCCTTATCTGTAGAGTCGGCCTTAATGAATAATTTTTAGATCACTCTTCCTAAAATGGCGTTTAAAAGACTCGGATCGGAATGTCACCAGTAATGTTAACAATATGTTCAATGTGAGCCAAACTACCATTACCCCACTGTATGTCAATTCGACCACTTCAATAGTACTCATCTTACCTTTTCTTCGCATTTGTGTTCATCTGTCTCTACATCTGTTAATCACTTTTCTTTCATTCTCTCGAATTTTTCTCACTATGATGTTTCTCCTTTCTCTGAAGTCCGAAGTCAGCTAAAGAGCTAATGATAATTATCAAAACGCCTGTCACTTAAAATAAATAAATATTAGAGCACTAAAGGCTATAAAATTTAAGATTTCTGACCTACACTACATTTGGAGTCAGAAGATTTTAGAAAATAACTATTTTCAAACTTAATACAAAAAGGCTGTTGCTGAGTTTATCCATTTCATAAAGTTTAAGAGATCCTTAACAATCTCTAGGATCTAGTATGTCCTGACTGTACGAAATAATACAACTGCCTTATTTGTCGGAAAAATTAACGAAAGCTCTAACTATTTAAGCTTTCAGCAATAAGTTAATGCATACTAAAGGCAAATTTCTGTGGAGCCCAAAATGTTACCAAGAGTGAACGAAGAAGTCTCATGCACATTCAGACAGACTCGAAGGTGCGGCCGTGCTGCATATCGCCTATGGAGCAAGTGTAGCGTGTGTGCAGAGACCTCTCGGCCATTCATTAATCAGAAGTCTCGGCATTGCTACTTTATATTTTAATGATGGGGAGTGCGATAGACTTACCTCCACGTGGTGCACCCTGGGCAACGTATATACTCCTACGGCGAAAAAGTCTATTAACCGGCAGTTGACTTCAAACTACCATGACCCCACTGTATGACATATTCGACCACTTCCACAGTACTACATCACATTTTTTCTAAATTTTCAACCTTCGTCTTTGAAACACTCTTCAATTCCCCTCCTCTCGACTTTTTTGTCACTTTGATGTTCCTCCTCCTCTTTGTGAAGCCGAAGTCAGCTAAAGGGCTAATAGTGACTATCAAAACGCCTGCCATTTGACATTTTTAAAACTAATGATGCAAGAAAATTTAAAGAAAAGGAAATTGCAAAATTCGTGAGGACAGCCGAATTGAATGTATGTTAAATATCTCACATTTGCTTTCCTCATTATTACTTTGGTTGCTGCTGAGTCAAATCAGAAGTTAAATTATATCGATGACAATCATATTCGAACAACTGTGATAGGAGTTGGTCATTCGTTAGAGTTTCTTAGAATTAAGATGGACACCAACACCGTATTGTCTCTAGAATATCCACTTCACCTAACGGAAGATTTCGTACTCCTATTGCAGAGATGCGTGTTGTCTGGTGAACTTTGCGTACTTCATAACTGTTTACAGAAAAGGCATTAGTAGGTCACGTCATATCTCCATAAGATTAATTTTTTAATCATGTCAATTAATGTATTAATTATTTTAAACCATATAACATCAGAAATACTGGGTTGAGGGTCTCAGACTAATGCAAATTCGAAGTTGGTTTTGTTTAAACACGGCAATGACTAGTGTTACGTTGAAAGATTATAATTGTTTGTCCTCCATTAATTTCAAATGAATTGAACAATATATGCTATCAATGCAGGTGAATTTATATATATATATATATATATATATATATATGTCAATTGGGTTCTCCTTAGCAAACTAAACCAAACTAAACTAGATTATAGTTTTAATGCGAAAGTAGAAGCAGCAACTATGTGAAAATGTGTTTATGATCCCGATTTCACCATCAAAATACGTTTATTGAGACTAACATACGATCACAGACTCTAAACAGGGTGCTAAGATTTGAGAGCATCCAAAGTCATATTATACACCAGTAATTTAAATTCGCAGGAAAGAAACAAAGGCTTCCCAATCGGGATGGGGTTGAGAACTCGTAAACGAGAAAGGGGAGAAAGCGCGAAACGGTGTGGGAAAAGTGGCACTGGCGTAGAAGCTAAGTCACTGTGAGAGATAGACCAGGCAAAATTCGCTAACCAGCCTCGGCGTTTGTTGAAGTGAAATGTGGTGATTGCACCAACTTTTGCACTAAAATCAATATTAATGAAAATGTGCCCAGCAAAATAATTAAACCAAACTAGAGCTGAGCAATTTTTTTAGAATAACAGGTTTTTGGTAGCTTTCCTTAAATTCCCGAGTCAACATAAAAAGAATGACCAAGCACTCAAAGTAGGCAGTTTTGAGTAAAACTGACTACCGGATTAATACTATTGGAGCATCAATAGCCATGGAAACATGCAAAATCCACGGCGATAGATCCTGAAATCCGACTAATGCTCTTCAAGAAAAAAGATTATGTATCTTAATTTATACCTGACACAGACCCCCCCCCTCCTCATTCATTCAATTACCCTGCGTAACTTAAAGTTGAGCAATTTCCATAATTAAAATAAAAAACGTTTGTTTTACCCAGTAATCAATGACATTTATTTTGGTACCGTAATGAATTCATAAATACAGTAGAGATTTAAAATAATACACCACGTTTATAGAAGAAATTAATGAGGATTATCAAAAACGGTTACCCCGGAATCTATCGAACAAAAATTGGGAGCTATCGTCGTTCCCACTGCTGCCAGCATTCCTTGGATTGTTGGCCAATGAAGGGGGACGGAGTTGTGGAGAAAGTCCCGAAGGCACTTCTCCACCATTAAAGCGTGAAGGTACTCGACCCCCGTAGGTTGCAGGGTACACGCTGGGGCGTTGCATTGGTTGGGCGCCACTAAATCTAACACGATTTCCGCCGTTGGTGAAACGAATCATGGAGTTTCCACCTACACTTTGAGCTGCAAAATAAGAGAATAAAATTTAATTATATTTTAGTGATTTCTTAAGAGGATTACGAGCCACATAATCGCGTAACATCCATAAGTGGGTAACAGCTTGTAAGAAGAAACAAGTTCAACCCATGAAAATGAATTAGTTCTAAGCGCACCATACGACATTTGTTCGAGTATGCAATATCAAAATTCAGCGTTATGGGACATGAATAGAATATATGAATCACTTGTTCAACCGATAGAAAGCATTTCCCAATTTTCGAATTTTGAAGGGCACCACAGTGATAGGGAGCACATACTATGAAGACAGCTAATTCTGAAAAGAATTTTAGAAGACTAGCATTTTCTTTTTGTTTATAAATACATTCGGGTCATGGTGTTCAAATACGATCGATTAAATTGCATCTAAATTCAAAACTTTATTAGGACATATTATCCCACACCGCTACTGGCAGTTGATTGATTATATCGTCAAGTACAAATCGAATGCGGATCGACGGCATCGAAGTAGAAAAAAACGGACAGCGATAAAGTGAGAAATAAATTAAACTCTAATGATAAGGAAAAAATACTGAGCAGAAGGCTCGAAGCTTACGACCATAAGGAGTCCTATCTCGAGGAATCATGTGGGGTGATTGTCTGGAGATGACAGGGGGATTACCACGCCTCTGATAAGTGGAAGAAAAACGATCCACATAGCCACTCAGACCTGCTGTTGAACGTTGTTGCATTCCACCTCTTAGAATTGAAGCTCTTCGAGAATACTGGCTCGATTCAAGAGCACGTCCACGCCGTGGCAGCATTCCCTCGAGGGCCGCAGTTTGTGATTGATGAGGCCTTCGATTGCTATTGGGACCAGTGAGAAAGACAGTGGGAAGACCTGATCCGTTGCGAATACTAGATACCCCGCCGCTGGTGTTGCTATCAAGCCCACTGGCAGTCATAAGTTCTGCTTGGACGGGAATCGATATAGTTTTCACTAGATTCTGACACACTAACGTCAGATTTTTTACAGCAGCCTAAGATAAAAAACAAACAATAAAATGAACAATGATACATTTGTCTTACTAGTTAGCAAGATAGGCGTTTCAATTACTCCAGAGAAAAGCAAGGTCTACATACTTTAAATCAAATCGACGACATCGATCCAACTAAGTATATGAAGACGGGAGCAGCCATTGTGAAAATGTTTCTTGAAAAGCATTTCTGCTCTTCTTGCATCCACATGTCCACAACAGATTCTCAAAAACTTACCTAGACCGTGATTACAACATAAGTCACTAGGGTAATAATGATAACCAAGTTGAAAAGGCACATGCAAGGTCATGACGATGGAAAATTTAAGAGGATGCCAATGAATTCATGACCCCGGTAGAAAATCAATCGAATTCGAGTGCGTAAATACAAGTTATATGAAAAGGTTGACAGAAATGAGGACTTTAAACCCAAAGGAATTCCGATGGTTGATAGCTTATTATTGATCGCTTTATATTTCACGAAAGACAAGGGCGATTAAACCATTTTGGTTATTTGGTAAATCGAATAGATCCTCTGCAATCAGACAACTTTGACATGAACGAGTGTGAAAATGTAAAAAAGTGGAGCTTCCACACTTGGAAACCAACGTCTACTACATGTTTAGCCCACGTGTCAGTGAGAAATAAACCGAACGCGTGAAAGAATATTTCTTCTTTCAAAACATTGAAGTCTTAATTACGAGACAAAATGCCTCAATTTTCCTCTTCCCTTCATATCAATCTATTTACGTTGTAGGCTATTTATCCTTGATGCGATCTCTATTCATTTGGCTATATACAGAGGCTAATGGGTAGCCATAATATGAACAAGTCGTTCAAGGCTCCAATCCACCTTTCTATTTCTCTTTCGCAAGTAGAAAAGCACGTAGCTGACAAGCATGCGAGGGATATACATAAACACATAAGCATAGCGACAAGAATAAAAGTACTCAATCGATAATTAACCACACATCGCCCTTAGGAACGTACTGTCCTCTTTCAAAATAAACTCCATTGGCATTGGACTCGTAACAGAAGGCCCTATTGCCGTTTGAAAAATGTTAAACACGCCTATAGAATTCGCCTGATACCTCACCAAAACAAGTTTACGTCGACATCAGTCTGAAGTGAGACATAAATGAGTGCAATTTTCAAAAAAATAATTCGAGTATTAAAGGGTTTTATTCAGGGATTTTAATGATATGTTGAAGCCTTCATAGGGGACTTTGTTTTCTTCCTTCAAGTCTTGAATTCCAAGATCAGATTTTGGAACGGCCATGTAAGAGTAAATTAAAGGAAATTCATCTAAATTTGTCAACTCCAAAAATTGCAAAAGCAACCAATACTCAAATGAAAACAAAGAAAACATTAGAAGAAGAAGAAAGTATTGTCCATATGCTTATGACAGTGGTCAATTTTAGGTAGATGGCTATTCGGTCAACAGTCAAAAGTACAAGCAATTTGAGTAAATCTTTTTATCGCTTTAAGTGGATCCGACTTCAGATGGAGGATTGTAAAATACTCGTGTTTGCCACATCCACCCGTTCAAAACTTTAGGAAGAAAAGTCACAGAGAACCCAGGACACGTCACATCATCAGCACTATAATATCACTTACAACAAATTGAAACATTCATTGCTACCAGAATTCAAATAAGGTTAAAGTTTTAGTACTTTGATATTAGTAGTGTGTGCTTGTGTTTTATCCCCACCATTTCATCCTTTACTGAATTATTTTGCTTTTGGGAAGTTTAGATACTAATCCCCATAACACTGATAAGTCTTAAAATCCTATTTATGGCATTGAATGATTAGATTTCACAACAAATATCTTCAATTTCTGCTAGGATAAATACTCGAAATGGGGATGTAGAAGTCTCTTAAGTGACTCACCAGGTTGTCAATCGATCCTAAATAATTAGGAAGTTTATGACAGGCGGGAGTAGAACTGAAGGCAAGTGTGAAACTCCAGGTTCTGTACAACTTAGTTCCCCTACCAACCCCTCCCCCCTCCCCCCCCCATCACCTCTTTTTTCAATGACTTCACATTGGGATGGCTAACTAGGACTAAGGTGACCAATGAGCACAACGATGATGCTTTCACAGGATAAAAGTGTCCAAAATCAAGCAAATAATTACTTGCGCAAATGGACCGTATTTTAATGATAGTATGCACGTAAAATGATGTTCTAGAACATTAATAAACCCTCAGTTTATTTGGACTATTATTGGTTCATCTAATGTGGAACAGTAACATCCTACTTCATGGCCACTTGAAGAAAATGTCGCTAGGTAAGTTAAACTGACGACTCTGGAAATCTAAGGCGAAACAACCACTCAATCTACTATACGCTGCGAAATAAAGTGCACCCTAAACCTAAATTAGACAATGTAGGTAGGTGCTAGTAACTGGAAGTCTCCATTTATGAAAAATATAGTCCACAACTGTCACCCGCTTGTCTTGAAGACTAAACTCAAAGCGTCCCAAACTCCCCAGCCCTAATTGTAAACTGCGGCGCTATCTAAAAAGTTAGTCTCAAGAGCAAAATTCCATATGCCTTGGAAAACATTATTTTTTTAGATAAGCACTCAATGAGCAAATCATAATTAAGGTACCTTACGCTTGAAAATGTGCAAAAACAATTCCACCTTGATTTAAGTAAAAAATTAACAAAAATAATTACCACGATAGCTTGATCAATCGCCGCCTGAGTAGTAGCGAATCTCTCCAACGTAGCTGGATGCATTCTAAGTAAACTATCAGCGCCCCCAATAATGAGCATCCGTAGATCAGAAACAAAGGGTGTGGCAGTAGTGTTATGTCCCAGCGCAGTTTGCTGTCGGGTTCTAATGAAGGTCTCTCGAAATGTATTTGCCTCCTTCCTAAATCTAGCCCCGACTACCACAAGAAGGGAGAAGTGAGTGGGTATCTGCTCAAAGTGGGGAATATTTTCAGGCAAGAAAGCATCCTGGGGTGGAGCAATAAGAATCAAAGCAGCTAACCATGGTCGGGTAGGAGCAGAGACCTCATCAGTTTTGGATCTGCCACAAATTATATCGTGTAGGCGAATATCTTCAGAGGATCTAACACAGGTTTCATCAGTTGCTGCACAAAGAACTGCAGAGCAAGTTGCCCCAAATCCAATTAAATAGATTGGCATCGAGCGACTATCGTTTAACTACAACAAGATTGGGACATCCATTTAATCGCTATACTTTAAAGTGAATAAAAATGTTAGTGAACGAACCAGAGATCTGAATGATTTACCGATCCTGCGTACATGGAAGGCAGGATTATCATCCACAGCCATTGTCATAGACACCAAGTGTCCCAACTTGGAGAGACTGCGAAGAAGAATTTTGAGTCGAGAACTCTTGATGGCATTTTTGGGGAGAACACAGATAAATGCGGCCCTATCAGTCAAGGAAGAGGAACGTCCCGAGACGATAGGTCTTGGATTGGTGACGTTTGGAGGGAAAATCACATCCGATGGGATAAAGGTTATGGGAGAGTAGGAGTCTCTCGAGGATTCATTATCACACTAGTTGGAAAGAAAAGATACAATTAGGGAATATAAAGAACGGACATGCATTGAACTAGAAGTGAAGAAATCAGCTCATAGAAACTAGCTAGAACTGCCATCGTTTGAGTTTTACAGTTAAATTGTAAGTTATATATAATCTACAACAATAATTTTAAGCGTCATTGAATAAACCTTATTCAGGTTTACCTAGAGACCACGGACATGTTTGCAATGCCTTGATAATTCCCTCTAGTTATCGCTTAAAGTGAGATTGAAATAAATGGAGGAAAGTCTAGGATAGTTGCAAGGTAGCTAAAAATCGACCAAGTCAAAAGGATTTTTGAGTTGATAAAAAGGAGGATAATGAATGTATCGCAGGATTATACAACTTACTTCCATATTTTCAGAAGTCCTACGAGCTGGACGATATCCGAGACCATCAGGGGGAAGTGTCAAAACGTAGTCAAGGAAACTTGAGTAATCGAATCTTATAACCTTTCGATTGGAAGTGACCTGTTTATTCAAGCGACGCATAAGAGCCGTGATTCGTGTTTTGCCCATTAAAATAACATATCCTCGAAGGTAATAAAAAAGAAGATCTGTTGGGAGAGTATTCAATAGTCTCTCATGAAGTTCTGCACAGGAATCAATTCTCTGAATAAAATGGATTACTCAAAAATCCAGGAATCTATCTTACCCAATTGAAATCAGCAAATGTATTTCTAATATTTCGAGCAATGCGCTTCGTAACCAATTCATTACGAGAGTGTCGACGAAATTCATCAAAAATATGCCCCGACTAGAGTAAGAAGTGAACATTGAGAATATTTAAATAAACAAATACCTTCTGAGAATGAATAGAATCCTCATAATTAACTATTTTGAGAAATTTTCGCAACTTTCGGAGAGGCTTATTAACAGTAAGGTTCCAAACGACGCTAGTAGAACTAACGAGATAAGAAAAGTTAAGTACTAAATTACGGAAAGGTAATCGAAGCTTCCATATCATCTGCTTCCGGAATAGGATCAGATCTGCAAAAATCGAAAAGCCGAGAATCTTCTGAGGAAGGAGAATTCGACTTAGTAAGAGAATCATTTTCGTCTCCAATAATATCAATGGCGGTGGAATCCGGCTCATTCTTGACTTTAGGTTCGATGCAACAAGTAGAAATAGGGTCAAGATAAGACGGTTGACAATAAGGATGATCATGATCAACTATCATAGCCCGTATTTGCAAAAGATGTGGATCCATTGCCTAAAAGAAAAATGAATAGAGGAAAGGACGTTTCATATAGAATCGTGAAAAAATTATGTACGATAGTAATGTGACATTTCACATACTCACACGAAAGATTCTGTAAAATAAAATGTATGAAAACATAGAATTAATGAGACGAATCACGAAAAGAATCAGCACCAAATTGAAGAATTGTAAACTACATTAAAGCAAATAAACTTAGAATCTAACTTAGATCACATTAATAGAGACCTAACTAGCAAATTAACAGATTGGATAATGCGAATATTAGCATAAATATCTACGATAAAAGATAAAATGAAAAAGTCTAAGAAAAAACGAACAAATTATTAAACTGATGCAGACAAATTACGCATTGAAATATCGATGGCATGAAAATACACGTGTAGACCTCAAATCTCCATTTGCAATTGCATTAATAAAAAATTAATCATTTGTTAATTAATTCTAAAAAATTAAATTAAAATTAATTAATTTTTATCTCTCATTGAAGAACACGCGACCTTATAAATCATGCAGCGCCTTTCTTAAATTGTTAAAAATGGCTCAAGAATCGGGTTCGGAGGATATGTTCAGTAGGAAATTAGTTTATATATTTAATTTATTGTAGCGAGGCGAAATCCATCTCAGCGTCAAATCAAACGTAGACAAGCGGAAGATCTCCTTTTAGACGATTTTGAGGATGAAAGCGACGATGATTATGTTTTTGAAGGAGATGTTGGTAGGACATCACGTTGATATTTTTATTTTCTTTGCAGATGAAGCTAGTGACGAATCTGGGAGTGAAAGTGATGATGACGAGTCATCTGAATCTGATTCTAATAGCTCAGTCGAAATTGTTGGCATAAGTCATAATTCGGAAACAGTTCTTGCTGATTCTGCTCCTGACGGCCTTATAGCTGTTCCCTCAGAGGCTTATCCCGTATCTGATAAAATTGATACGCCATTTAAGCCGAAACTGCCTCCAAGGATTTGCATGATCTGTTTAGGTGATGAAAGCAATGCTTCTGACGAACTAATTGAATGTGATGCTTGCAAAGTTGTTGTACATGAGGAATGTCACAAGGTGTATGAAAATGTCTTTCTCTCCAGTAGTGCAAGCTCTTCTGAAACCGATCCATGGTTTTGTGAGCCCTGTTTGGCTGGCGTTGAAAATCCTATATGTGAACTCTGTCCGAATTTGGATGGTGTGTTTAAAAGGACAGATAATAACCGCTGGGTCCACATTCTTTGTGCGCTCTACACTCGTGGTGTAAAATTTGATTATCTGGATAGTCTTCAAGATGTTACGCTCACGGAATTACCCTATCAACAATGGTCATCTAAGGAATGTTCTCTCTGTCAAGATAAATTTTTCGCCTGGACGGGTGTTTGCATTGATTGTGACGCTGGTCTTTGCAAAAGCCATTTCCATGCTACATGTGCTCAGCGTGAAGGTCTCATTTCTGAGCCATTATTAGAAGATGTAAGTTCCTTTTGCGTAATTCTATCTTATTATTAAAGTGGTCAAATTGTTTTTGCTGAATTGGTTAAGGAATGATTTTATAGATTTGATATGTGTCTGTTTAATGTCTGCGTTTTGATGATGGTCTGGTCGCCTGTGTCTTCATTTCACTTTTCCATGTAGTCGATGACATTGGGTGTCCATGCAAACCGTTTCCCCATTTGTGCTCGAGCTGACATTTTCAATTGAATTTTGCTTGAAAATGTATTCTCATAATCTACTCAGGAAACTACATTTTTCTAATTTCGTTAGTTGCCTATTTAAAATTTGGTTGTCTGGAGGCTATGCATACGCTTTTATATTTATCCATCGAGGTTTATACCGTGAACCGTTTTTAGCTGTCATTTTGCATGCTTGTATCGTCCGCTATATATCTCCAAAATTATCCGCCAATCTGTTCCTTAAACAACCTCTAACCTATTGTCATCCGCCTTGTGTTGTTTAAGATTGGCCAAATTCAATGCTTCATTCAGTTTTGTTTGCTGATTTATCGCTGGTAATTTCAATTTTATTAGCAGTCTTATCATCGCCAGTTATCTTTTAGCCTTCATGGGTTTGAGCCTTATAAGGACATCACCCAGATCGTTGTCATTCTATAATCTGGATCGAAGTATATTCTGCCGAAGTTCAAATTCTGACTTTCAAATCCTTAGAGGTTGCATAAAGTCATTATATAAGTTTGAACACGATTTGTCTTATTCCTCTTCCCATATAAAAAGCTGCCTTAGTCTTCTGAAACATTTAGGGGGTATCTAAAGCTTTTGATTGTGATTTAGGACAATTTTATTTTGCGTAGTTTTTTATAAGCATGGGGATAGGTTTTGAATCCAAGACCTTAGGTACTTTTCCACCATGCCCATCGGGATCAAAAACCGCCTGATATGTTGGTACCTCCGTACAAAATCATGATGTGTATTTGATGCCCTATTTCTCTCTTTAAAGTTCAAATACGGCAGATATGCAGATCTGAATGTTGTTATCTTAACCCATGGCAAGACAAAAATTCCAGTTTTTCACCGTAAGAAGCAGCTGAAATTCGATTGAATGTTGATTGTTGAGAATAGAGCCAAACGGTCTATTTTTTCCGGGTTGTTCTTTTTTTGATTGGCTTTTTACTGCCCCACCTCCCAAAAATCCCCTGCGTTCATGAGACTGTCCTTTAAGATTTTCAGTCACAGTCACTTCACAGCTCATCCCGAAGGCCTATAAAGCGTGTTGATAAATTGAGATTGGCGAAAGATTTTGGTTGCCCAGCTGCATTCTTGGTGCATCGATTTCATGCGCTTTCTCATGGTTGTTTTATAGAGCGCAGTGGATCCCTACTTCGCTCACTGCAAGCAGCATACTGAAAAGGAGGTTATTAAAGCACGTCGTCGAAACTACCTTTCTGCATTTAATCGATGCCAAATGATGCGTCAAATGATGATGGAGGAGAAGCAGAAGAAGGATCCCTACGCGATGGACTTGGTGGAAGACTTCACCACTCTCCCCTCGTCGTCCTCGAATGAAGTGAAGAGCCGATTTAACCTTCTGGACGGTAGACTAAAGAGAAAGCTGGAGTACTTCCGTGATCTCTACAATAGGTCCCTTAGAAATCGGGAGAAGCCTTATAGTAAGCAATTCCTTTTTCCTATTTTGGAAACTTATGTTAACATAGAGGGATCGCTGGTTGTCAATTTAGGTAGAAAGCGACTTCGCGATCTCAGCTGTCATTTAAGTTTTTTGGCCTATTCTGTAAAATGAAAGTGGTGAACATTTCACGTCAGAGCTTTCTTCTTTTTTTACTATTCTGTCTGTTTCAGAAGTATGATTTTGAAAACTTTTAACTAATTTGGGTTTGGCTAATTACAAATTATTAACAATTAAAATTTTCTGTTCGTGAAATATTAAATCTTAAAATAGATGGAAGTTGAAACTCGATGTGCGGGTTCCTTATAGAATTTTGTATTCGATATCACTCACTTAATCTAATTATACAAACCAGACTATAGGTGATGCTTTTAGATCGATTTTTAGTTTTCATTGTTAAGGTTATACTTGAGCAGATAGTTTTTCCAAGTATTTGAAACAAAGGCTTGTATCAAAGACCCCCTTCACAACAGATGTAACTTCAAATCTGCAGGAACATTGAACAGCAGTTGGTAATCCGCAATCTTTTTCCCGATCTCGATACTCTCGACGAATCTGCCTGTCTTTGATTTTATTAAAGGTTCATCCGCTTATAGATTTTTATACGACAATTCTTGATGTTTCAAAACCCGGATTTTAGCATTTTTCCCCAGGTTCCTTAGTGGTTTATGTAATATGAGGAGTTTCTATAACTTTTTTTGATGCATTTACCTTTTCTAATAGGCAAGAGTATTTTGTTAGTGTTCGGAGGAAGTTCCGTTCGAAACTGGTTTCAAGTTCGGCCTAAGCATACTGCAACAATATTCGTTAAAAATGGTATCTGCGTGCGTTTCGCAGACATGAGACAGCAAATGGTCACCTTATCTTCGCCTTTTGTACATACTGTAGACTTTATAGGCTTTCATACATGCCTTGTCAACGTGTTGAGCCTTAAAGAAAGCCTATTTCGATCTTCCTTTATTGTCGAATGTACTTAGTTCCTTATTAGTAATTGAATAGATACTTTTGGCTTCCAGATTAGAATGATTTTTTGCTCACTCTTTTTAAGCTATTCCGTCGCTTCAGGCATTGGGATTTTTTTATTTGTGAAGGCCTTATAATTAATATGTCACTAATCCTTGTACGTTTTAATAAACATACATCCAAGTTTTGATTTGGTAAGAGCTTGACTCGTTCAAGCGTTCTCAAACTTTTACCCCCCCCCCCCCCCCCACTCTATTGAATAAGCAAGGAGTTCCCAGTCCTTTATGACATGGCTTCTCTTGCGAGGGACATAGTGACAAAGCGTCGACTCTGATTCTAAGCCACCCTAGCAAGTGCGCCATTTGCCATCTAAAGATTTTAGAAGTGTCCATATTTACTCTGTTCGATTTACTCCTACATCCTCAATTTTTTTTGACTTCGCCTGAGTCCCTCGTAATCTCTAATAGATGAACAGCTGTAAGATTTTGACCCTGAAATTGCTTCAAAATTGTAATAAAGTCGCAAGTTTACAAGAGGAGAAGGAGGGGGCCAGTGTGTGAGTCCAAGTTTTCGGTAAATTACAATACGCTTGTTGATTCTTCAGCGCGACCCACCAAAGTGCCCTTCTATATGGAAAACTCTCCCTTGGCCATGCGCGCTTTCGTAGGCAAATCACTTGCACTTAATCTACCCCTTCAACTCACTGGAAGCTCAGCTCTAACGGAAGCAACTAAAACCCTCGCTCCCGGTTGTCCCGTCTTCTGTTCTGACTTTGTCAACTACGTTCTAGGTACACATTGCAACTTCAGCTTTCTTTACTTGTAAACTGGTGATAATGTTTGTTTTCATGTTAAGACCGTGAAAAAAAGATTGATGAGTTCTCAAAGTGCTTAATCACCCTCGAGAAAACTAGAACGACACTGCAAGTTTTGGAGGCTAAGGTTTCGTCGACCTATAATACTGTACGTCTGCCCTCCTTTGTTCATTTTTGTTCAAAAATTCTTCTTGAGGCCTCATTCTACCTTTTCCTTAAATAGCTTTCTACTAAGCTATCGGATATAAATGCCAAGAGAAATTATCTGCGCGACAATGCTCGGTCTGTTTTGAACCACCTTGCGAATCTGTTGCCGGTAAATTTTTTATACCTAATACTTGTCTCTTTCTTTATTGAAATTAAAATTTTAGAATAACCTAGACAACCTCTCATAGTACTGATAGTCGTTATGTGGGCAAAAAGTGAACAGTCAATCTTTTCCAAATGTTAAGGTCAAGTAGGATCAAGTGATTTAGTTAAATGTAAGAAAGAAGTTGGAAGTTAGGAATTTGAAGTGAAAGAGGATTGTGATGGAGGCAAATTTACGTTACGGTGAGTGGAGTTAATTGATGAGCGGCCAGCAAAAAGTTTGGTTACCACAGACCTGTATGTTAGCGAGATTACTACAATTTCGCGCTTTTCTTGAAATTCATATCAGTTATCGGCCAGTACCTTGAAGCGACCGATTCTAAATAGCAACTAGGAGGAGAGGAATCCGTAGCCTTTGTCCTCTAATCTTATTCCTCTCACTTTCTTCCTTGAATCCATATAATCTAAACTTTTCTCGTGTGTGTGTGATATTCAGGGCCTTCAAGCAACAGGTGAATTAGCAGCATTCGTGGCCCCTCCAAAGGCCACCACAACAGTTGTTATTAATGACTCGGGTGAAATGTCAGCTGATTCTAATCCCGATGGTGCTGGTGACGCAGCTACCACGACCTCAACGTCAATAACAACATCCCGTGGTAGAAAGGTCCGTTCCTCAGCGGTTAATGCGAATGTTGCCGTTTTGGCCACAACCAGATCCTCACGTCAATCGCGTAAGCGACCGCGAAAGAGCCAACCTGGTTCTGGTTGTACTTCAGCGAGCAAACGCCCTAAGCAAACAAGCGCTGGTGACTCGGATGTGATTGTCCTCTCTGAGGACGATCATCATCAGCATGTAGTCCCTACTGAAGAAGCTACAGTCATCCGCGTTGAGAATATTCTTCATCAGTAAGTTTCTATGACAACGTATCCTCGTTCTATCTGATCCTGACTTGGGTTTACTAGGTTGACAACTTCTTTAAAAAATAAAATTAGCTTTGGGATACTTTTTCCGCCACAAATATTTAGATTCATTTATTTCTCGCTGTTTTCCATTGTTATTCAGATAAATCATTTAGAGAGAGTTGATATTGTGAAAGGTATGAGCAACCCCCACTGGTTGTCTAGCTAATACAGAAGGTAGCAGAATTCGAGTGTCAGAAAGGAGTTTTAGAAGTGATTTTCTAAACGCATTTGGAATTATTATTATTATCAGGCTACTTTCTGAGGAGGGGGATGGTACTATCACTTGGACGTTAAGAAGATAGTTGTTCTTTTTGTGATCCTCTTGGGAAAAGTATTTCAAACACCTTGTGTTCAGAAAGATTGTTTTCTGAAACCTTTTGAGTTGACAGATTTTAGTTTATTCATTATTAGTCGGTATTGATAGCCTAGTAACGACAGCCATTAATGGTAATTTACCTATTTACTTTTACTTTAGTTGTAGCATATGTGGCGAGCAACGTGATCAGCACTTGCTGGCAATCTGTGACACTTGCAAGCATGCTTTTCACATTGCTTGTCTTGACCCTCCCCTTGCCCGAGTTCCCAAACCCAGCAAACTCTTCGCTTGGTGAGTTACCTTCATTTAAATAAATTTTCGTTCTCTTCTGTCTTGGGTCTTAATTAATTTTTCTTCCCTTCTTCTATAAAGGCAATGCAGTGCTTGCACCCTAGCAATGGTTACTCCCAATGAAACGGTGACTGTAGATATTAATGCCCCCAGACAACTACGCAGAAACAATCCTACAGCAGCTAATTCATCATCTCAAGCCTCCTCTCGTGCGACACCCTTGAAAAACCTCTCATTGTCATCACAAGGTAACACTTCGTCACCAATTACCATGAATCTCTCCACTCCTTCTCCCGCTAAATCTCATGGTGATTCAGGGGTCAAACGACGTTTTAATAATACGTCAATAGCTGCAACACGATGTCGGGGTGGAACTCGTCGTGGTAGGTCAGGAAGACGTCCTAAAGTTGTCAAGGCTGAAGCCTACGACACAGTGGAACGACCTAAGGAAGTCATTCCATCAGAAGCTTATCCTGTCACAGAGATGAAGCCGGGTACAGGCAGACCTATCTCCATCTCGTCCGTTGACTATGAAGATGCCGGGCGACATGAGATTGAAAGCTCTGGAGAAAGCGAACACGACTCAGAAGTCAAGGTTTAGTGCTTGAATTAGTCTAAATACACCACACCTGAAATGATCAGCGTGAAATGAATAAGCATTGAACAAGATAGTTTAGAAAGGCTTATATTGAGAAAATATTCGTAGAAGTGATAGAGGAATTGCGAGTCGCAATTTAAGAGGCTTAACTTTGAATAAATCATGAATATTAGACGATCTAGTTGGGTTAAGTTGACGACTCAGTAGCTCGCATTGCTTAAAAGGAGGTCTAACTGCACATATCTACTCTTTAGTTTATACCTCCAATTTTCTACCAACCTCTACTACTTTAAGAGAATAGTGAGATATTTGCAACCAGCACGGTTTATTAACAGTAGTCTCCGAGAAGGGAATGAAAATGAGAATAGATGAGATGGTTGCTGTTGAGTGCAGCTGACGACGCGGCTATTGTGTAGGTTTACGGAGTGGATATAATATGTATACTTTTGGCTGGATATAATTTGATTTAGTCAGGCGATTTCAGATTGCCGGTCATTTGGGTCGAGCTGCTTCAGTGCCAAGTTTTCTAGACCTGTCTATCCTCTTCTTTAGGGAGTTAATTTTCTTATGTATCTAGAATTTTTAGTTCAATAAACTTTACTTTTGCTTTGCATCCTATTTGTGTGGATGTGAAAAATAATGATGGCCCTTATTTACTTCTCTTCTTTTATTATTTAGTTCTGCCTTTTATATCTGATGAGTTTGGTCTTAAAATGACGAGGAGGAATTGGAGAATTTAGTGAAGTGGAGGTAAAATTGGAGCTGAAATGGGCATGGATGGATTTGTGGGAAGTGGTGCAGTACATGCTATGAGTAGTGCTCACTTGAGGTACGTGAGGATGATTGGATTTAGGTTGGCAAATATTTTGTCCATCTGTTGCTGGTTAAGCACTTTTTTAATTTTTGTGAAATATAAGATTATTTCTATTGGTATGTATTTTTCAGCGGAGATGAGTATTTTTAGATTCAGTCATGTTACTATATTTGGTAGATTAATATTTCCTGACTCACGTTAGGAAGTATTTATTAAATAGCTATATGGGAAAATAGGCTTAAAAGGTTAGTAAAAATGATTTAGGGAATCATATTAAACATTTAACAGTTAAATGTGGGCTTAAATCCCAGGTGTACAAACAAAGAGCTCGGTTGAAAATGTGTCCTTGTTACCACTTTTGAAGCAATAGATTAAAGGTCAAATAAAAGCGTATTTCTAGTTGAATGTATATTATTAACATAGGTGAAGCAGTCAGCGGTCAAAACTGAGAAGGTGGAGGAAGATAATGATGATTTGTCTGAAATGAGAAGCTCAAGAGGTTAGTTTGTTTCCTCTTATAGTTAATATTTTATGCTGATAGTTTGATCGGATGTGTGGATGTGTATGCGTCATTTTTCCTCTTTGTGAAATTAGTTAAGTTCGTTCGAATAAAAGGCCACGAAAGTCCGAACCAAGGCTTTTCCGATCAGGGCGCGCAGCAGCCTCCTCAGCACTACGTCATCTGCTCATCTCAGGAGGCTACCCCTAAGGTGCGTTTCATTTATGGTGTCTTCTCTCCACTCATATATGCTCTCCCTCTCCTCTTCTCCTTCTTCTAGAAATCACCTTCGTCGGGCAATTTTAAAATCAAAATCAAAAAATCTACCAATTCCTAAATTTAGGCCACTTAACTCCCCCTCCCAAACCCCAACATCGACTACTCACATTACTCTGTACTTCTGAGCAACCCACTGAAATCTCCAGTAACGCTGTGTCCCTTTTTGTTACGTATTATGTATACATTCCATTTAACTATGATTACAAAGTTTGTGTTTTTAAAGCACACATTCTGCCTCACATATTATTGCTCTTCCTTTGAATTGAACAAGGTTTAATTGACACTCATTCGCGTCATCGATACGAGCTATTAGTGTTAGTGTTTGTATTGGCCTTATTGGCTCTCAGTAAATGTTATTTATTTATTTATATCGAATGGCAGGCATTTTGATAGTTATCATAAGCCCTTTAGTTGACTTCAGGCTTCACAGAGAAGAAGGAACATCAAAGTGAAAAAAAGTCGAGAGGGGAGGGGAACAGAAGAGTATTTCAAGGTGTAAAAGAGAGAGACGAAGGTAGAGTGAAAAAGATGAGGTGAGTACTGTGAAAGTAGTCGAATATGACATACAGTGAGGTGATGGTGTTTTGAAGTCGGAAGTCAACTGCCGAATAATAGACTTTTTTGCCATATGAGTATACGTTGACCAGGGTGCACCACGTGGAGGTAAG